TTTAATGTTATCTTAAACATTTATCGTAAAACAACATTGCTGATAATTTGTGACTTTAAMAAGGTTTTTTAGTGTGATGATTGGATGGTGTGGGATTCTCACATTTTGACTGGTTCACAGGTAAAACCAATCGAAAGTCAGGATCGCATGTCATGTCTAATAGTGAAAATTTCTTGTCTGTATTCAAAAAAATTGTCTTTTTCATAAAGACTAGAGAGAGCTTATACTTTATGCTTTCAACAAAGATTTGCATAGGGCGTGACAAAACAAGTGAGATTTACTTTGAAACATGTAAAACTAAATTGTTAGGTGGCAAGTTTCACAGAGAACTATGCCTTACTTAAAAGGAATTATGTAACATAATAGAAGTAGCTTCATATGTGTGTTGACTCAAGGTGAAATCAGAGACAACTTGCTATTTGTAGCTGATAAACACGAGCTCCTTTCTTGAGCAAAAAGCCTTGATTATTGAGCGAGTAAATAAAGTCCTCAAAACTTGGAATCTGTAGGCGAAGATCCTGGAAAAAGGAAATAAATAGGATATAAGGAACATTACAAGAGGTCACTGATCCGTTTACATCATATTGGAGGTCTCCATATATCATCCAACATGGCTGACAATGATCATGTGACCTATAAAAACGACAGGTTACAAAATTTAGGGCTCTTTCCATTAAGTTGAAGCAAACGGTCCCAGCAACCAGTTCTCAAAATCGTACACGTTAGTTCCGAACCTGTTATAAGGGAGGACAGATGTGTACCATTTGAGAACTGGCTGCCCAGACCAATTGGTCCAACTAAATGGAAAGTGCCCTAAATGTGGTACCTTGGCTACTGCTCGCATTTGGTCGATAGTAAAAATAGAATTGTAYTCTCTGTCAGCAATGCGACCCAGCTCTGCAATGAATCGCTTTCCCTGAAACAAATATACAAGATAACATATAGTTAGCTATTCAATCAGAGCAAACCATTTATAAAATTCAGGGTTCTCTAACCACCATGCGTACCACAGCTTTGGAGCTCATGCCTGAACCATGCTGTGACCGTTGAAAGTCTAGATTTCCAAAGTCATCACTGTAAGTATCCATTAGACTGTACTTCATGATCACAACCACGTCTTCAGCATCTTGACTTGTGGCCTTCTCACGAAGCTCGAGACGAGCACGTGCCTGAGATACAGGGAAATGAGAATACATGCTTTAGATATGGGGGAATAAAAAATGTGCCTAGTTACAGAAACCACCATGGAAATATGTGCCTTAGATACAGAAAACAAATGATTAGAGTGATAATGATTGTTACCTCTGTTAATCTGATCAATGACTCTAGCTGTCTGGTTGTTATAGGGGTGGAATCTCCTGCTTGGTACTGACGCCTTAGTGAAAGATAAAACCCCTGCAGAAATACAAAAAATACATAATCAAATAGTAAACATCTAATCTCATTAACTAAACTCTTTTGATAAAGTCTAATCTAAATTAAAATTCACACCATACTATTCATTCCTGGCACGATCTATTAACTCTAAACGACCATCCCAATATATCAGCACACATTAACATCTAACATCATAGTGATTCACCTGTAACACCTTAGCAGCAGATGATGTCAGCTTCGGATGAACATATTTCCTTGCGTAACCAATGTACTACAATAAACGATATATTGCACACTCAGTAGGCTGCATTACATTAGCGGGACCTTCAAGTCATTCTCATTACCAAGAGGTCATATTTTATTACCCATGACTATCTCCTCATCTTGCACATGCTTGAGGAAGTAGCCCCTTAACACACTATACAGGTAGTTCAGTCCCTCCCCCTATGGGATCCAGATAGTACTGTGCCTTCCTGTCCCCCCATGGGATCCAGATAGTACTGTGCCTTCCTGTCCCCCCATGGGATTCAGATAGTACTGTCCCCTCCCCCCATGTGATCCAGATAGTACTGTCCCCTCCCCCCACGAGATCCAGACAGTACTGTCCCCTCCCCTCATGGGATCCAGATAGTACTGTCCCTTCCTGTCCCCCCATGTGATCCAGATAGTACTGTCCCCTCCCCCATAGGATCCAGATAGTACTGTCCCCTCCCCCCACAGCATTTATGTGTGTCCTACCTTTCTCAGGAGCGGTGGTGGGATTGGATCAAACTGTTCACCAGGGCTAACCTAATAATTAGACAAATAAATGCAGTGATGAATATGCTGCCAAGGTCATACCACAGGAGTAGCTAGAAGTACACTGCACAGGCATCCTTGTAAGTCCTGAGTGTTGTCCAATACACACAATATGAGACTGATCTTCATGAAGAATAGGTGATCAGTCTAACTACTCAGATGTTATTTAAGGAACAAGATCACAGGACTGGTGTAAAGGTTATGCGCTTGAGATATCGGCAACTACAAGCACTAGGATACTTGGTGACATGGAAGGAGTTTTCTTCGAACAAGTAATGGTATTGTCAAATACTTCATTCTTAGTATGTAACCTTCTTCATATCCCCACCAAGAATGTTATTATTACATACCTTGAGTCGTTCAGATAATGGTTTRTCTGCCTCCCATTGTTGTCTTGCTTCATCTTCATCTTCACTGGTCCCCTACATGACAACAAACACTGTTATTCCCTTATTCAATAAAGATGGTCTTCACATGCACGTGTGGGTCATGATTGCCTTACCTCACTAGGTCGTCTTGCTGTGACTTTTCCCAAGGCACTAAAATACACCATTAATACAAGTGTTCAAATATCAAGAACAAATCCAAGGGAG